AAAAATGGATGACACCGGGAGCAGCCAAATCGAGCGGAGGTGCAAATGTGGGCACTTTAATGAAAACAATAAATCTTCATCACTTCCAACTGACTCGAAACGAAATGAATCGAATCGCATCGCATCGCCTCGAAATGCAAAGCAATCGAATGAAAATGCCAGTGCAAAATCCAGTGGCGTGGTCATCAGAAGGGGGCGTGGTTGTCCCCAGTCATGGCAAAAAACGAAATCACTAACCAATCAAAATTTGCATACACCTTGGGTGCAACATACAAGGGGTATGCGGCAGCTCATCAAAGCGGTATTTCTGAATGGATTCAACGGAGTTTGGAATTCAAAGTATGCGACAGTTTTTGAGGGATTTTAATACCCTACCTACTGATTTCTGCGGGTTATTAGCCAATTCCAACTAGATTGCGAAATAGCATTCTATATTGTTAGCTACCCCTTGAAAAAAGCGCACTACGCACCTGATCGCCGTGATAATTTATTGGGGGAGAAGTGCACTTGTAAGTTTACACAAACCGAAGCTCGTCAATTAATGGGGCTCTCGCCACCCGATGCTTCCTGTCCCGCCCACCCGGGGGCGAAAAATTGAAACGGAAGCGCAAATTTTGATTAATTGAAATGGAAATCCAAAAACAAATGGCAGTCGGGGGCAACAAAGGCGAAACTAGGGGCTACAAGTGGGCGGCCGCGGGGGGAGTGGCGCTGGCGTAATTGGCCAACGGTGGGTGTGTCCATGTCCACCGCCGGTCCAACGATCCACCGATCCACCGATCCGCCGATCCACCGATCCGATCCGCTGGCGTCATCGCCACTGACGCATAAAAAAATAATCGTGAATCGGAGGAGCGCGGACGGTTGATGGCTCTTCTGTTCGACTTTCATGGTTGTCAGGCAAGCGATTATGCAATTTATTTTCATAAGTGACCAGCCACCCACAGCCACCCAGCCAAGGTCGCCGCCGAATGCAAATTTATCGATACCCATTCGAACATTATTCGCCACGATCGTTTGTCAATCAAGGAAAATGACGAAGCCCCCGTAATTTTCACCCCACCGCACGCCCGTTGTATTTTCCTTTTCTCGATGAGATCACTGGCTGAAAGACTTCCGGCAAGGTAGATGGATTGGCTGGGGCAGTGGTGCCGTTGGCATTCCTTCGCACTGCGATCTATTGGTTCCCGAATGGATCTTGGACCTTCAGATCGTTTATTTCACGGGTATCGATGGCTTCTGGTGCTGAGCTATAAATTAGAAGCCCAAAGAATTTCCCTGACTATTGGCGTGGAAACTCTTTACAAAATTGCTTATAAGCATACCTTTTCGGATGAGTAGGATGTGAATACTTTTCAGGACTTACTATAACTATTACTATAACTCAAATATGGATTATTCCATTCTGTTGCTACAGCAGCTCATTATCCGCTTAAGGGGTATGCGATAGTGCAGCTTAAGTTCAGCGCTAGTTGGGCAGGACTTGTGTATAACTCGGGCAGCTGCCAGTAAATAATAATTCAATGACTTCCATATTTAGTGGTAGCAGTTAGGCGGTCAATTCGATTAGTGACGACTCCATGCGGGTTGCACAGGTCAACGGGTAGTTGTGCACATTCCAGAGATCGAAAGGAATTCCAACTATGCGCTGGGTGTTTCGGGGGCACATCGGCGCCAGGGGGGCGCTGTGGCGGGGGATGGGCGTGGCCACAGGTGATTTACATGTCCCAGCCGGCTAATTTGTTGATGCAAATGCGGGTGTGGCCTGTTCGCGGATCGGTGTCCCCAGCACGCGCCCACAAATAAATAAACGGCTGGAGATGGAAATGGAAACCGGCGACGGGGACTGGGGGTTGGGATTGGTCTTGGAGCGAGATCGCAGCCAATGGCGACAATTGGCATTCACCGTCGCAATTAATCATCATCACCGTCCGATTGACAATCGGGCCACAAATAAATCAAAATCAAAACCATAAAAAAGCGAATGCAGCGTCGACAGTCAACTGCACTTAGAGAAAAATGTACGGGCTTGGAGCTTTTCTGAAAGCAAATCACATGCAGGACACGCCTTGTAGTTAAAGATGCAATGGTTCAAGTGTGATATGAACAAGTATACATCTAATTCTTAATCCCTTTGCTTGCACTTCCCTAGAATTTCGTCGAGTGTAGTGCCCAATCAATGCCACAATTCATCAAGTATGCAAACACACGCGGGCAAATCAATCAATGGCGAGCAGTAGGAGTGGACGGAGGAGGAGTAGGAGGAGGAGCAGGTCGAGAGGTCGTCGTGGTGATTCTCCGATGCAGCAGTTCCACAGAAGGTGTCGTAATCCTGGACGCAAGGGTGCAAGGGCCAACTGGCAGGGGCAAGTGCGTCCTGCGTCCTGTGCCACCAGATGACGCGCGATGTGGCCGGAAAAACCCAAAACCAGACCGAAACCGAAAACCTGGTCAGGGTTCCCGAAAACCGTAGAGCAAAAAGCGAATGCGGCACAATGGGCCGATTGTGCGCGAGTATCCACGATGATCTAGAATCGCACGGAGCACTCTCACGCATCCGTGGCCATATGGGTTGGGTCGATCGGAAATACCCAGGACAGGTAGGACGCTGTGGATTGGTGTGCGGATTGGGACTAGCAACAGGTCGCAACGCCCGCCAAGAAGCCAATTTAAATAAGCAGCATAAACAAAGGCGACAGCGTTTTACGATCCCAGCTCCTTATCCTTATCCTTGCACAAGGATGTGGCCATGGCCACGCAGGTAGCACTGGTCTGATCTGAGACCTGGCGGCAGGGATGCGCCAACCGCACTGGTTCGTCCTGGTCGGATGGGCTTTTCCCACGCAACCGCGACCTTATCTGCGCCCCTTTTATGAGGCTGCATCTGTTTTCGCACCTCGCTGTCGATGGCACTATACCCACATAGATGTATCTACTATATATGGTGGGAATTTCCGCCCAGCCATCCTACCTGTTCCACTGAACTCGGGGATCTGGCCATCCTGAGCTTCCACAGGTCAGTCGGCATCAATTGGCCGTCATAAACATAAAACAATCAGCAGTAAATCCTTTATGGCCAACTGAAGTCGTAGAACTTATATGCCCATTGTAATCGCTCGATCAAATGATGCCTCAATTAAAATAATCGCCTACGCTCAAAACCGTTGGAAACGGAATAATAATCAATGGGATATCCGTTATGATCAACCTTTAGTAGCTTGTAAGCCTGTGCTTAAATAATCCCATAATAAACCTAAAGGCATTGCAATACCTTTGACATCGCAGAATTAAGGTAGGGAACTGGTAGTTTTTGGAACAAGTTTTTTGAAAAAACAAATTATAAATATATAATCCTGAATATAAAGTACATAAATCTATGGCAAGTCTTAAGTCTTAAGGTTTTATTGGTATACTCGTATATTAGTAGCTTAGGGGTAGTTACTCTGGGTTTTATAAATCCCAATGCACATATGGATTTGCTATATTGAACGCAGTTTTCGTTGGATACTATACAGTACCATATAGTTCACCTGGATCTGCTCGTTTGCTTTAGCTGATCCCCAGATCTGCGACATAATGCGAAACACGAGCAACTTGTTCGCTTGATTTTATAGAGCACTTGCAACTTTTTGAACTGATTTGCTATATTTTATTTATGGCGGATCCCAAGTCCACGTCCATTGCCATGTCCATGTCCGTGTCCGTGTCCATGTCCCAGTCGATGTCCATTTCGATGTCAGTCATTCACTTTTGCGCTCGACTGCTAATGCCTTAAAGCCAAAATCCATTTCGCCGTTTGGCCATATAATCCAACATTATACATCAAATATGGCACTTGAAGGCACCGCGCGTCTGCATGCCAATCTCAAGGCCCCATAGTCGCAGCTGAAGCCCCTTGCCGCCAACCAGCCCCCCCAAGAGCCACCGCAATTTTCCGATTTTCCCCATTTTCCACCACCACCTTTCTGTGGTCGCACTTGTCGCTGGCGCCGGCGCCATCAGGGTCGTCAATTTTTGAGCGACATTTCGACCGGTGGCTGAAATCACAAAAGCCAGAAACGAAAAAATTGGAAAAAGCAATACAAATGAAATCCGAAAACAAATATGCGATTTTGTTTGGGGAAAATGATGATGATCGGCGCCAGACGGACATAAAAACGCCAAAAGAAACGAAAGGAAGCCTGGGAAAGGCGCATTTCCACTTTGTTTATTCGGGGCTCTGAGCTCTTTTTAATGGTTTTTTGGCCAAATGGCCAATTAATGTGATTTACTTGATCCGCTTCTGCATTCACTTTTGTTCTTCTATTCGCTGCGTTTACGACGGCGGATATTAATTAATTTGCCCGTCTCTGGGGCGCAATCAAGAGTCCACCTAACATCCCAGTTCTCGGTCCAAACCTGAATCCCAATCTCATTACCAATCCCATTCCCATTTCCATTGCCAAACCGAGTCAATGGCGTTAATGTGGCCATAAAGCAGATGCTTTAACGTCTATGATTTGTCTGCACTTGGGAACGACCCACGCTACATATATCCCGTCCGATCCCATCCAATCCCATCGGATACCACCCACTCCGAGATCATCCCAGTGAATGATTCATTTGAGTGTAAAGTGCTGCTAATAGTCGAAAATTTCATTTAATCTACGCTGCTCGTTTTTTATACACGCACATATTGCTGAATGTTTATAAAGCAGAGATTTGCTTTCTTGCTGGCGAACAAAGGAGCGTCATTTGGTGGCCACTTGATGGACGCACTGATACCCTCTGGCACTCAAACGGAAATAATTAGGCAGCAACACAGTCTGTTCTATAGGCTGCTATGCAGCTTTCTTTTGTGGCAATGTATTTGCGAAATACGTGCATTTTGTAAAAGTATTATTATTAAAAGTATTTACGGATGTCAGTGGAAGATCAGTGTTATAGGGATGATATAGGGACATGGGTTCTTTGAGTGGGTTGAAGGAGCAGCCACAACAGGGAACTCCTTCATGGACTGACTAGTTCTTCCAGCGGTTGCCGCACTCGTCGCACATGACGAAGGTGATCATGGACTCGTCGCCGTCCCGGGTGTGCAGTTGGATGCAGTTGCGCTTCTGGCAGCGATCGCACTTGAACAGATCCGTCTTGGTGCCCTGGAACTCGGCCATCTGAGCCGCGTTGATGGACTCCTGGACGAACTTCTGGCGCATCTGCTTCAGATCATCGCTGGCCATCTCCTCCGGCGTCATTCTGGCCAGCTGCTCCACGGAAATCAGTCCCAGCAAGAACTTCTCGCGCAGCGCCGGATTCTTGGGATCCCGCAAGTTGGCCAGACGCGAACGAATCCGATTCTTGTACTTGACCTGGCACGACTTCAGCTCCACGTAAATGGCCTCCTCCAGCTGGGCGGCCATGTCCTCCGGATCGTCACATCCTGCTGGCATGTCGCCCGCCTTCAAGGCGGCTGCCAACATCTCCCGGCACTTGATGCGCACTTCAAAGGCCATGACTAGGAATCTGGAAACGCGGAGTTGCTTTATTCACACAAATGCTGATGCTCTGAAAAGTGAGGTCACTCAGATGGGAAATGTCAAAAGTGACAGGCACTGCAGGGCAAACTTAGTTAACAGTGGGCACTCTAATATTCATATCATAAATAATACCGGTAACTGTAATTAAACCATTTTTGTAACAGTATATAAGAGCATAGTAGTATGCTCCATAGTGGGTCACTATTCCATTACGCCCGCTGTGGCCCCCAAGAAATGTGCTGGAAATCGACACTGAGAGGAAAACCAAACACAAATGAAAATGGAAATCGAAATATTTCCCATTTAGCCTAGATGTTTGTGTTTGTCGTTCCGCTTTCTTTGTGCGCCGATGCCATTTGATTTCGCTAATCGTCTGCAACAACCAGCGCGGAGATGATCTAATTATTGACGCACGAATCCCGCAGAAACACCAACAACCAGGGGGAAATGAATAATAAAAAGAGGAAAATTGAAAGTGGGAAAATTGAAATATTGAAATGCCAAACAACAGCGACGAGGCAGCCGCAAAAAGTTGGAAAAAACCAAGCCAAACGGGCGAAATTGAAAACAAAATCGAAATCATTATCCAAGTCATTAGCTCTTTAGCGAGTCGTTGTTGTTGTCGCCTTGCTCGTTTTATTGTTGCCGGATATAAATCTGCTAATGTACTTATCCACCCACCCACACCCCCACTCGACTTCCAATCGCTTTCGTCCCACTGTGCGTGTGCGTGTGCGCGCGCGTTTTTCTAGCGTTTTAAAACGCCTCCGCCGACCTTCAACTGTTAAACTTGACGACCTCAGCGAAACGTAAACAGCCGCCACAGATTCGAAGTTACCCAAATACAAAGGTGGCCAAATACAAGTGTATCTACCAACGGTCTGGGGAATTGGTTCATGGCCGAATATTGACCTTGGCGGCCTTTTGTCTTTCGCCTTTCGGCCAACAAGGTATTTGGCTTGGTAATCAGGCCCCAGAACAATGGGAAAAGCTCGCACCTTTGAGGCCAAAACAAAGCACTTTCTCTGCATTGGAGGAAATACAAAGAGAGTGTGGTAAACACGAATGGCAGTAAAGAAAGTTAGTGCAAATATGTTCTGCTTTCAAATTAGATATTAATCTTAGCATATACTTGTATTTAATATTATAATCGAATTGAATTTTCCCTTCCCTAACTGTGGTAAAATTATACTATATTATATATTTGCTTCATCAAATATCTTTCTAATGCCCCTATTGTATCTTAGCTAAGTGAAGACTTACCAAATGACAGGAGATGCGAACATTTGCTTGCAAATCACCTGCAGAATAATCAATTATGGGTGAACAAAACTACAAATTTACCACTTACATAGTTAAATCCAACTTTGCAGCAATTTTCCGCTAATTTACCTCGATCAATTTGCATTTTCCAAGTTGCTAAAGTCCAACTGCCGTTCGCAGTCGCCGGTTGGATGAATCGATGGTTGGTTGGCTGGATGGACGCTTCCCAGCGGCGGAGTGCAGTTACATTCGCTGCCTATTTGTCTCCCGCCGAAGTCAGCCCACTGCCCACTGCCTGCTGCCACGCCCCCCGCCCGCTACGCCCCCGGCGTGGCCTTCTTTCACCTTGGCTACGTGATGCCATGGCGTGATCGTGTAACAATGCGAGTGATTAGTACGCGCCGGCGTTCGAAATGCGCAATCCGCCGATGGCAGCGAACTTTACCTTTTTTCTTTTTTTGCCGTCGTTGTTGCATTGTTGTTGCACTGTAGTCATCGCTGTTGGACTGTTGATGCAGTTTTGGATGCCGCTTGGCTGCCATCGCTTCATAAACGGGCTATATGCGATTTCCGGCTCATTATGGCAGTCGATCGGGATGCAATAAGCTGGAACAACAGAGCTCATTTTATGAAAACAAACATTGGATGATATATTAAGTTGCGACAAGTTTGCACAGCTTCAGAAATACATAGCTCCTCCTTTACATAAAATGTTCATTAAATACTGCTTAGATTTGACATTCCAAGTAGGCCACTTAATACTAAATACCAAATACAAAATGTAGGCACTCATAATGCCTCGTCTCCACTGGGTATTCGGAAGTTGGCACGCCGCATCGTCAGCGTCGCTGGATGTTTTGTTTTGCTGCGTTTCGCAGTGGCCTTTGTTACTGCTGACTGGCTGACCATATGTCTGTCTGGTGGCTCACATCCCCATCCACAACCACTGGATGGTCGACTGGATGCATTGCAGCATGCGCGCATGCGCCGTGCACTCCGCCATGCAACTGGCGGTCGAGTGAAATGATTTAGTGTGATTTATCTGCGAATTCCTTCTTTCAATCTCTTCTCACGCCACAGATCGCCTCGGAAAAGGGCCTCTGGCCCCAGGATCGGAGGATCTGTGGATCGGAAGGCGGCGGAGCTGGCAGCGTGGAATGGGGAACATGGATTATGGAGATGGAGATGGCCATAGCCGGGCTAAGCCCTGCTAAATGCGGCGGGGCCACGCCCACCGTGGAGGGAAGGTGTTATAAAAGCGATAATAAAAAATTATAAGCTATGCCCCATAAATTGGCATTTAATAGTTGAAATTTACACTGAATTGACAGTGGCTCGCAAAAGTCTGCGACGGCGTGAGTAGGCATACTAAATTATCACGAGCTGTTCAGGTAGGTCTCCATGTATAGCCACATCCACATCCACATCCACCCGCCGCTGAAATTCTGGGGAGGATCAGACGATCCCCATTCGGCGGAGCCGCTGCCGAGGGCAATCGGCCGCGATTTATGATGCATCATTATAACAATTTTTATTATGGTTATATTTTGATACGCACGCCAGCGAAATCATGCCCATTTATGAAATATATGCAAGTACAGTGCAGACCATTTCTAACTTATCTCGGCTTTTCAACCTTTGCCTTTTATGACAGCCATTTTTGATTGATTTGCTGCAATATGCAAACCTATTAATAATTGAATAGACTGTATTATAGCAATGAAAACATTCCCACACTTAATGTGTGCATTTGCCTAATCTAATATTTAAAAATAAAATACACACCCTCCATGCAATGACATAATTTCATTACTACCAACTATTCGTTTGAATAAGGTTTATTTTATCGATTGCGACAAGCTGAAATAAATAACATACGCAACTGATTGATGAATTAATTAAATCATTACCATAAATCAAATCAATACCCAGTTTTGTTTTGTTAAACGCTTTGTGGGCTGCTGATTGTTATTGTTTGTTGAAAATAACACCAAAAGCGACCTTGAGTTTAATGAAAAGATTCTTGGTATAAATGTATAACTACCCGTATCTAAATTTACACCCATTGCCATTCGGTCATCGAAAGTCCAAAAAGGTGACTATATAATAATATACAACAAAGTATATATATTAATACATTTCAATGCATAAACCTGCAATAAAAGCCCTACACTTTCGATACGCACCTTGCGGCGATGAGTGTGTTCGTTTCGCTACGGTTTCGTCTTCGTTTTGGGGGCGATCTTATCAGCTGGTCGCGTCCCCAGACTTTTGGCCATTTTATCTGGCCCACTCATACCATCCGATCATCGTAATCATCCTCATTACAGCTGATAGTGCCCAGAACAACTTTATCTGATTCGTGTTGCAATTCGTTGACCTCGTCTCCGCTCCACTTTGTCTTTTTAATTCCCGAGATATACATATATAGATAGTTACTTCTGTTGGCTCCAATGTGAAATTACGGATAAAATTTGTCTTTTGTGTGCTCTTTTTATTATTATTTCTTGTGTACATAATTTATACGAGTATATTTTTTGGTATAGCTGCGTCTTTGCTGCAGTTTCGAGTGTCAATTAGCGAGGCATTCGCTAATAGAGTACTTAGGGCCGATTACCGGGGTGAATCGAATCGGTTAAGGCCCAGTTAATCGCAGTGACATGATCGGCGGCCTGGGAGGGGGTCCTCCCCCCACAGCCCCCCTCTGTGCAGTGGCAGACAAGCAGGCACAGAAGCGTGGAAGTGGAGTGCATGTTCTTGGATGTATTAAAATTCCAACAATTAGGGAACATTTCACATGCCTTTCTAATAGCCAACAACGTGCTTGGCAACCCAGAGGGATCCGCGGATCCATGGATCGGTGGGTTGGTGGATGGATGGATGGGTGGTGTGGCATGGAGTGCCATGGTGTTTTGTGCACTCAGATGCAACAAGTTGATAGCCGGAGCTGGTCAAACCGCTTTGCTGCTCACTCACTATGCAATTTCATAGTACGGCAGCGGCGAAACATGGGCAGTGGTGGAAAAGCGGAGGAAAAGTGCTGGAAAAAGGAGCAACTGCGGCAACAAAGGAACGGCAAACTGGAAGCAGAACATCAGCATGTTGGCATGTCAATAATCTTGTACTAGTCGTGTTGGAGGAGTCCCACGTGCACAGCGAGAAACGTGTGGTAACAAAATACACTTTGATTACTACAAAATTGAGGTAGTTATAGCATACAAAATAGTTTTTTTTCTTTTTCTAACCCTCTCCGAGGAACTAAATGTTATGTGTATGCCGCAATATGCCACATTTTCTGCGATTTTTCCAGGTGCAAATGCAGTGGAAAAAGCAAAAGCAAAAGTGGCAACAAAAGCAAGACAAGTTGCAAGTCAGCCAGGCCGACTCCCATCGATCGATGAGACTGGTTCGAGATCCCTGTCGCAAGGTCCCCGACCGAGATATCGATCTCGATCTCGATCTCGTTCTCAATTCCAATTCCTATTCCGAACCCGAATCCGAATCCGAATCATTCGCCATTGGACGTGACTTGCCACTTCCGTTTCCAGTTTGCCACGCACTGCACTGAATCGAATTGAGTTCAATTCGATTGAAAACGAAATCCGATTTGTGCCATGCGGTGCGTCGTCGATCCATCAATTATATTCGCACTTTCCCACCAGATCTCAGACTCCAGTTCCCAGATCCCAGTTCCCACATCCCGAGATTCTCCTTGTTATGTCACGCTTTGGCCACA